TTTGTATTTTGTCCCTAATATTTCAGGCAGGGTCAAAGCTACAATGGTGCTGACACCAGAACACCATTCTATGACATCGTACCTTTACAGAGGTACCAAAAGTTTCTTCTTATTATATATATATCTTGTAAGTTATTTACTTTTGTGTGTTTTTGTCAGGTAGAAATTTATTTATACCCCCTTAGGGTGTAAGAAGTTAAGTAACACGTGTGTACTTTAGACACCACTGGATTTTAGCTTTAGCTTTCTTGCATTGGCATTGACCACTACATGCATGTGTGCACAGATTCTTTAGTGCATTCAGCAGCAATGATTTAAGATCACATGAAGTTCAGCAGAGGTGGGTAGAGTACAGGAAATGTACTCAAGTAAGAGTAGCTCTGTTTCATTTAGTAGCACAATTAAAGTAAATTCTCTACAATTTTTCTACCCAAGAAAAAGAAAAGAAAAATAGAACTTTATTGATCTCACATTGGAGAAATTTTACTTGCATTTAACCCATCCCATTGGGGAGCAGTGGGCTGCCATTGTGCGGCACGTGGGAAGCAGTGTAGGGTAAAGGGTCTTGCACAGAGACCCAGAGTGGAGGCTGCACCTTGCACCTTCTACACTGCTCTAACCCACTAGGCCAGTACTCCTCCAAGTAAAAGTAGATGATAGTGATTCAAGAAATAACTCATCATAAGAAAAAGTCCTAAGAATCAAGCCAACAGAGCAGCTCTAAGGTGTGCATTTCTAGGATGGAACAATGCAAAAATAAGTTCAAAGGATGGAAATATTTTTGCATCACAAAGTTGTTTAGTTGATGTTAAGACAATCCTCCTCCTCATGTATGTGAATATTTAATAAATACATACAGTTTTTTTAATGGTCTATTAATTATAGTGTCTAGAGTGACTTCATTTATTTAAGAATCTGCCAAATGTACATTTACTTTAATTTGAATGTCCTTAAAAGGCTTTAATTTTGAAGGAATTCTAATGTGTGATTTTGGGAAAAAAGCAGAAGTTTGATTAAACACTTATGATTGAATTAATTAAAATGAATGTGAATGTAAAGTAAATGGATGTTTCTGACTGTAGGAATCAGCCAAAAGGGAAATATCCCTCATTTATGGATAAGGTTTATTTAAAATCCAGGTTTCAGATCCTGCTCCAGATTATTGCTATAAAATGTTCAAATTTTGATAAGAACCAAAGAGAAGGAGGAAAAAAAAAAAACAACAAGCAGAGATTAAAATTTGTGTATGAAAACATTTATTTTCAGCTAATAAGAGATCACATATATTAACTATTACAGTTTAAAAACAGATGACCCCATTTTTTTAATTAGCTTTTCTTGTTTTTTGTTTTTTTTTACATTTCAGACGTCAAAACAGAGTAAATTGATCTGTTATACATCCAAGATACAAAGAAGGATTACAGTTATATCGATAAATAAAACGTTAAGTCCTAAAAGTCCTACTTTTTTTTTCCTTTTTGGCAAAGTGCTGTAATATTCCAGTAAACTAGACAAAAAACAAACATGTCTAACACTTGGTGAGAAACAAAAAAAAAATGCCACAAGATATTTTTTCACACTTAAAATAATAAAGAAAAAAAAAAGGTTTGCTACATCATCATTCGGTCTGGTTTGTTGAATCATAATAAAAAGTTGTACTCAGGCAGAGCAGATGGTGGCTTCATCAGAGCGATGCATAGTTTGTTTCAGGCGTCCGTTTGTGTTTTAATTCATTACGTCCAAATGGGAACATAGAAAAAAATAATAATAAAGAGTTCAAGTTCTTCATTGATGCATTGTCATTACATTTCAACCTGGAAGGCACGTGATCCACAACATTTTCAAGGCATTGAACAAAAATACTAGAAATCCCTGTTAGTTTGGTAATAAAAAGAGGAGCAGAGAACAAAGATTCAAACACAGATGAAACATTGCAGGCTTCTGCCAGCAGGGGGAGCCTTTAACATGGACTCCAATCCCTTTTTCTTTTAACTTGTCTTCATAAAAAGCATCGCAGTAACACAAAATTACACTGAAAGTGAACTCAGCGGTTAAAAAGTAAAGAGTTAGAGAGTGTAGATCTAAAAGACAAGCTTACATAGGCTAAAGGTAAAGTTCACCATTGTAATATTTACAGGAAACCATGGAAACGCTCAACAATTGATGCTACACTTCTATCAAAACGACCAGAGATCCTTCACCACACTGCAAAAACAGCTTCACGGGTTCGATAGATTTAAATCTTTAAAAAAAAGAGAAAACATTTGCTCCGTTTTGATTGAAACTAAACATTCAAAAGTACATTTTGATTTATTTTTTGTAAGCAAAATCAAATATTCTTCAAGATGCAAAGGTATGACATGTAATTGACTTCGACACAAACACATTATAAGATGTTAAACATCATGATTTTGACTCATTAACTCTTAAATCTGTAATAGGAATAAAAAAGCAACAACTTTCACTTTATATTTTCTTTTTGCAGTGATAGACTTTCTTTAAAGGTTATTTTCTGCAGTGTGAGATCTCAGTCTGGTCTCGGCTTTCCTCACAGCGACGCATTAAAGCAAGAAAACATCCTCTGTTTCAGCCAAACTGGTTTTAACAGACGTTTTACAAAGGTTAAATAAAAAGGAACATAAGTATTAAACAGTAGTGAAAGATTACAGATTGCCGCTACTTTGTTTTGGTTTAAATATCAGCTGAACAAAATGTAACTATTATAGAAGAGAAATAAAAATGCTGAACAAACATTAAGTACATTTCTAAAACCAGGTCTGGTACACTTAGAAAAAAATAATCAACATCTTTTAAAAGACTGCTTCTCTGTTTCTTGATAAGATTCCCAAAATTGGGCGACATTTTGTTTTTTTTTTAGTTTTTTCCGCAAACCTGTGAATAAGAGAAGCTTTTGCGACACGAAGCGAACAGGTAATTATTTCTCACACGCGCTGCAGAGCTGGAGAAAAAGTCCGAACACGTTAACAGAATCATCAGCCGTCAAGTAAATCTGCATTTTCCTAAAGTGTAAAAGGTGATTGGTTGTGACCCTGAGAAGTGGACTGCAGATTTATTCCAGAACAAACATGAAAATAAACAAAGTCCTTTTCTGTTATCGTCTCTTTTTTTTCCAACATCGTGATACAAACACATCACAACCATGCAACAGACAGCATACTCATCACCAAACATACCACAGCAAGAATCCATAGATGCGTACAACTTCATACTGATATGTAATTCGATTTTTTTCTCTTTTCACTAATTTGTAAGTATATTTATCTTACATTTCTATTCATCTGAAAGCTACCATAGCAACAAGGCATTTAGTGATATTTAACCCAGTCATTTTAACTGCTTTTTATTTATTTTTACTTCCAAAAAAATATAGTGGAAAGTATTGAATTGAAAGTCAGAAGCAGGTTCGGTAGGCACAGCAGGAAGCTCCTAACTGAGCTAAAATAGTGGTGATAAAGATTTTTAAAAAGCAGAACATTTATGAGACGAATTCCTCTGAACGATAAAATCCTACCTGCATTTAACTAGAATGATAAAAAAATAATAGAAACACAGAGAAAACCTGAGATCATGTGAGTAAAATGACTGATCATCTTTCATCAGAGTGAAAAGGAAAGGAGCTGCAGTACAGGGGGGTGAATTTCTGGCTTATTTTGTTAAAACTCTCTGTTCTGTTTCTCGGTTTTCAGTTACAACGGTCTACGGTTTCACAGGGCGACCTGTGAACGCATCATTCTGATGGTATTCTGTTTTTTGATTGCTGGCAAAATATTAAAACATTTTAGTGATTCCTCTTCAAAACAAGAACCAAAACAGGAAATGCACTGAAAGGAAGCATCTGTTAACTGAAATCAGCTGATCAGAAACCAAAACGTAACCAAATCCCTTTCCAGCCAGTGAGTGCTCCGTATTTAAGAGCTAACAGGAAGGCTTAACCCTGCTAGCGATTTAAAGGAAAAGTTCCGATCACATTCAGAATACAAACTTCCGAAAGTACTTTAAATATGAAATGATTACATACTTTTCTATAAATGTTAAGTGTTTTTAACTAAGAGTAATTTCATTTGAATGTGCTTTACTGGAGGCATCCATGTTTGTCAAAGAACACTACTGCCACCTACTGGTTTGCAGAGATGGCAAAAGTACTCACTTTCCGTACTTGAGTAAAAGTACAGATACTTGTGTTAAAAAATACTCTGGTAAAAGTGGAAGTA